CTGCTGAACTCTGGGGCTTGTTTTATTCTTAGGTTGGCTTAATCTTTTCTGGACTAGCTCGAGATGCAGTGATTCACCGCCTGCCTAAGCTCTCGCGGGGCGGATTGATGAGCCCGAGGACAGCTCCTTGCCTGGTACTGGTGCTACTGGGATGCTGCGGCCGGTCCCAGCCCCGGACTGCCCTGCTGCCGCCCGTCCCCGGATGGCAATGCAAAGAGCAGGGCCCCACGCTGGGATGGGTGCAGGCAGCACCTTGCAGTGTCGGGGCCTCCCTTCACTCCAGCCCCGCTCCCGCACACCGAGGGAGTCTTAAAATAGACTTGCTGAAATAGCGAACCCTGTGGGAATCAAACCGAAACAGCCCCGACGAAAACGGCCTGGGTGATTACTGCCGGCTCAGTCTGATAGAGGCTTTCCATCCCCTCTCTGCAAGGGATGCTCTTTGCCCTTAGCAATCAGGCTGTGATTCGTAGACATGAGCAACCCATCAGGTCCACCCGAGCCGGCTTTTTTGGCTGCAAAAATATTGTTCCCCGAGACCTATCCGTTTTGCTGCAGCGTTTTCCCTCTCAATGTTTTCCAACGGCCCAGTGGAAAGGATTACTAAAACGGGCTGTGCTGGTCATCCCCATCCCAGATAAACCCTACTCTCGCTGCAAGGAGCGATCCCCACCCTACAGCGATGCATCCTTTTGCTCCGTTTCATCCTTCATCCTGATCCCACCCCCAGGAGGATCCTTAGGGGTTTCCACCACCCAGTCCGCAGGGCTCAGCGGTAGCTCTGGAGATGGGTACGTGCTGGAGCAGCTCACGTCGAGCATGGGAACTGCTTACCGAGAGCGTGAAACCAGCACCCGGGCACATTTTGGGGTGCATCAGCTGTCTTATCTAATAGCCGCCAGTGCTTTGCACAAATCCCCTGGGGCTTGGGCATCCTTCCTGGTGCTCCAATGCAAGAAACACCCCAAGGTGCTACTTTATCTGGGTGACAGCCTTGTGCACCCCAAAAAAATGCCAGCCCCACGCTGGGGGACCCCCACAAAGACTGCCTCAGAGAAGGGACATGGAGAGGGAGGGCCAGGAGGGCAGGATTTACCGAGGGTTTATAGGATTAGCACTGGGGAGGGAGGCAAAGCACTGGGATTACGGCAGTCACCGGCGGGGCAGGGCAAGGAGGTGATGGCAGTGCCAGCAGGGAGAATGATCGGGGACAACCGGGAAGACGGCCGGCAAACAGCTCAGTGGAGACATCAAACGTCCTCTGGATGGGTTTGAGCAGCGAGCCTGGCTTGCCCCACTGAAGCCCACTTTGGTGTCCCCAAGAACAGGCAACAACCGATGCTGTGCACCACGGCTCTCCCCGTGCCCAGTGGCACCCTGGAACAGTGCCTGTGGCAGGGGAGAGCCCCCCATCCATCCATCCATCCATCCATCCATCCATCCATCCCCTGCAGGCCTGGCAGCATCTCACTCCCCTTTCTGGCTCCTTCCCAGAGCATCTTGGCAGCACAACCCACTGGGGGCAACGGGCAGCAGCCAGGTGAGAGAGATTTCCCCCAACGCCCTGCAAATGGAGCCCCTAAAATGGCTAGGGATGTCCTCGTCCCGTGCTCAGCCTCCTGTTATCTCTAGAGATGGATTCACAGTGTTCAGGGAAAGATGCCAGCGTGGGCAAGGGGAGAGGGAGAAAAGGTCCTGCAGGAGATCCGTCAGAGCCTGCCCTGCCCAGGTCCCGGACTCCTTTTCCCTTGGCTGAGTCACTTGACTCGGTCCCTGGCCCCAGGCAGGTCCCTTGACCTCCCAGTCTCCTAGCAAATCTGCAGCTGAAAAAAAACCCAAACGGATTAAACCAAAGCACCGTAAAGCAAGCATGGCCCTTTGCTGAAAACCAGAGGCAGTGGCAAAGAGCAGAACAAAGCACTCGGAGCAAGCGTGACAGCGCGTCCCAGCTGGAGCAGAGGCGGCAAATTGGTCACAGCAGGTTACAGCTGCAGTGAGCGCCTGTGCCTATCTCCAGCAAGGCAGAGGTGCCCGGGAAGCTGTCATCTTTGCATGGCCTTAAAACCTACTCCTAGAATTGCACAGCTGCCAGGAGCAATCGCTGCACAGAATCACAGAATCATAGAATCGTTAAGGTTGGAAAAGACCCTTAAGATCATTAAGTCCAACTGTTAACCCAGCACTGCCAAGCCCACCACTAACCCATGTCCCCAAGCACCACATCTCCCCGGCTTTTAAATCCCCCCAGGGATGGAGACTCAACCACTTCCCTGGGCAGCCTGGGCCAGGGCCTGACAGCCCTTTC